GGTGGAAGCCCCCCCCCCCCCCCCCCCCCCCGTATCCTTGATCCTCTAGGCGAGCCCATCTTGTACACGTATGCTACGGGCGCCACCAGTTTCCCTTGCGACCACACGTCGACCGTGTCTTGCTTGCTTTGGGTGTCTCTGGCACCTCGCCCTCATATAAGGAGCTAGAATCAGACCTCCACTTCAATCGTGCATGCAACCCTACAACACTTGCCCTATCGATGCCGCTTCAGGCGGGTTTACAATTCATTTTTCTTGCTGTACTTTCTCCACCCCAGGCTCAACCTAGCAGGGACCTACCTCATGCGCTACGCAGGGACCTCGAAAGTCAGCAATCGAATTCCATAATGACATCTACCAAATTCCTTTATTATTGCGCATTGGTAACATTCTTGAGAGGGACGACACTGGGGGGGGCATACTTGTAGTGTACACATGATTGTTATTGTTGTTGCTATTATAGATACTAATCCTGTTGTTGTTATTGGTCGTTGTGCTTGTGCTCGTGCTTGTAATTTTCAATTCCGACAGCTCGGCCCGGAGGCTCCTTGGCCCGTCGAACCAGCACATTCAAGCCTGGTCCTTGTGATGCCCGCCCCGTGTCGGAGAAAACCAGGGCTCGAGTTGTACGATGCGCTCCTTCTACGCCTACCCACAGGCTTGTGGCGATCTTGCCTGCCGCCTCCGCCGGCGGCCTCCAGCTCTTTAGCAGACTACTTCATTTCCCGCACTTCTCATGCGGGGAAAGGCGGTGACCGCCTCCTTGACAAGGTCGGACCTTAACAGCTCGTCGGGGGCAGCCGTGGAGGACTCGATGGTCGTCTCCGCCACCACTGCGTGCTGCAAGGTTGGTTGATTGACAGCAATGCAGCGAAATTAGGGCCCAGAAGGATGGAGGGCGACGTGGGCAACGGGGGGGGGGGGGAACGTCTGCCGTAGTTTGGAAGGAGTTGAGCGCCGGGGGCGATCTCGCAACAAGCGAGAGCGGTCTGGGGATTAGGGAGCACTAAAGGTTGAGTCGCACTGCCATAACAGGACCTGAGGGAAAAAATAATCTTCCAATAGCAACAATAGCTCTCGAATAAGGAGGAACACAGTGACGGCCACGAATGTTCCAATCGGGCCGTTGTGTCATGGATGAACGCTTGAGCGGGGCAAGACAAATGCGTACGCGGGAGGAGACTGGGCGGACGCGAAGCCCTGGTTAGTGTCTCGAGGGAGGGAAGGCGCGGGGAGCGTATGAACACCACGCACGGCCGTAGAATCATACCACGCAGACTCTCGTATCTCTACAAACACGCGACGGAGATTGTTGGGAGTTCAAGGATAAGGGCCGGGAGAGGCGACGGGGGGATTGTCATGATGTTGCTGACACCATGCCGTGATAATAACATTGCAGCCAACAAGCTAGAGATTTCACGAGAGTATGGTTGTTATATATAGGAGGGATAGAAGCGAAGCAAAACACAACCCTTGGTTAGAAACGCTCGGTTGGAAAAGGCAATGCTCATTTTCTCTCCCTAGGTCTTCTTTGTAAACGTCTTTACAAAACACCCTCAATACGGAATGGGAGATCCCTCGTACCTCAGGGTGGCTGTTCCCACGGTGGAGCAGCAACTCGCTCATGCTTCATGCAGTTAGGCAAGCAGAAAGATACACGCAGAGAGCAGAGAAGAGAGAGAGAGAAATAGAGCGAGCGAGCGAGCGAGCGAGCGAGCGAGAGAGAGAGAGAGAGAGAGAGAGAGAGAGAGAGAGAGAGA